TCGCGCCAACTACATCCCCCATTCGGTGTCCTCGACCCCTTTTATCTCCTCTTTGGCTACCTTTCGTGCATGCCCCACCTACACCAACGCGTCGTCGACGTCCTCCCTCGCGCTCCGTCTGTTTCTCGCGTTTCTTTCTCGTTCTCATCGACTCGCAGCCACCGTCGCGAGACTCTGTAGAAAAGCTCACTCGAGTCGCGGGTCAACGAATTCGCAATTACGATCTTTCACGTCGACGTGACTACCTACTCTCTCGTCGACTTTCGAGTCGCCCGGCCTTCGCTCCGTCTTCGTCGCGCACGTTCGACAACGCCCGCCCTCGTCCCTCGCATCTCGATCCAGTGCTTCGGGATTTTCTTAGTAAATCTATCACGAAAGCCGATAATGCGAGGCGTTGAAACGCTGGTATCCATTTAGCGGGGAATGCTTCTCGATGTCCACGGGGATGAATAAGAACGGACGGTGCGCGCGTCCAGCGCGGAATGCGAGATATTCCGTTTTGTGCCGTTTACGTTCGTCAATTTTCCCGAATCAAGGCACGAAACTCGTCGCGCTCGCTCGCATATTTTCAGCCGTCCGACGGTAATTGTTATACATCGAATTTATAATTCCGCGAGCTGCGAGCTCGCGATATTACCGTGCCGCGTCCCGGTGAAATGGATTACGGTGACGCTGTCAAATCAATCGGTATCAATTAACGTAAAATCATATTCGCCCGACGCCCTTTCCAATTTTCCGCCGGCGCGCCGAAAGCGCGCGCTATGCGCGGAGATAACGTGGAAAAATGTACGCACAGCTCGTGTTGACCCGGCCGGCGGATGCATCGGGGATGGTTAACGTAACTTGTTTCCCAAATAAACCGTGCTTCGCGTCGGATACGTACACTTTTCATTCGTTTAATCTTTATACGTACTCTGACCTTTCGAACAGCGGCGGAAAAATCCCGGTCGAATCGAAATTGGGTTCACGTTTCAGCGACCAATGAGCGGAGAACGTCCGCGCGTGCGGGAGAGATATCGGAATTCGAAGGAGAGGAAAAAGCTGAGGGAGGGGGTTTGCTACGTCATACACTTACGCTCCTTTGACACACTTTGAGACACACGGCGGCGCAATGGAAAAACAATGCGACGGCCCTTCAAAAGCTTTGTCAGCCGACTCTCCCCCCTCTTACCTGGCCGTCCCCGCGCTCGTCGACGCGCGCGCGAGAGCGTCGCCGTCGTTCATAGGCGTCGAATGTTTGTGTCACACGCGCGGGTATTATATGTCTCATTCAAAAACGCGCGCTTTGAAGAGCGCCCGTCGCGCGTAGCAGGGTGAAAAGCGGAAAACTGCTGAAAATTCATAGGGACGCCGAGAAGACGGCCGCGCCGATTACTGCCAGTGAAATATCGCGTTTTTCGCGCGCGCGCGCGCGCGCTACGTCGAGTTATTAATAAGTACAGATCGCGCGAGAATCACACACACGCGTGCGAAAAGAGAAGCGGGAAAACTCGCTCGATGACTCGGCACCAATGATTTCGCGCCGGGGGGGGGGG